TTCAGAGAATTATCTAGAACATTCAGGAGAATCAAAGAGATTCTAAATCTATAGAAGGAAAAGGTAAGGTCTAGAATCAATAATACATAGAACTTCTTAATATTTATTAAACATATTCTAATTAATTAATAGTAAAATCAGAACTAAGTAAAATAAGGTAACCCATAAACTAATTAACAAGCTAATTATAGTTAATCCAAATAAAAGGGATGGTGAAATCACGAATTGTTAAATTGCTAATTTAGATAGCTTAATCACAGACTAATAGTCAGTATAAAATAATGTATTATATATATTTGGAGATAATTAAGGACTAATTAATTTCCAACCTCTACCAGTAAAAAAGATTTAATTAAAAACTTTGGAGAGATCTTTTTAATCCCATTAAATTAAAACTCTCCAAACATTCCACAGGCTAGCGAATTTCGACCAATTACAATATAAAGTCCTTTATATAAGTGGTTAGAATTGCGATTTGAAAAATCTTTAAGGTGAAAGCAAAATTACAATAAGTTGGCTTTAAAAAAGTTTCGGAACTTAATTTCAGATTTTGAAATTGATAAAGGATATTTCAAGATTAAAGGCTTATGATAATAAAGTAGTAATATTCATAGATTTTAAATCGGCATGCAATACTTCTAATCTGGCTCGCAATCAACGAATTAAATTTTCTAAAAGCATTAATTAGTAACTAATACTATGACAAGGTTTATAATATTAACATACATTTCTCAAGTCATATAGAACCTTGAGCCTTAATAACAAAAAAACAAGAGGAACAGGATGCATTATAATGCTTATTATAATGATAGAATTTCAATTTCTTCATTATTTTTGTTGTGACGTTAAGACTTTTTCATTAACATATTGAAATTATTCCTTCTCTATTTCTATTCAATAACATTAATTCATAACAATTTTAGTCATCATTTCCGTATACAATTTTAAATTTTCAACATACAGATTTTATTGAAATGGTTTCTGCTATTATTAAGACTGATCTTCTTTAACATACGAGTATCTCCATCTATAAATACTTAAGAAATCGCTTTTTGTAGACAAAATGTCACTGTGTTTTGATGCCAGTCAACAATTTAAATTGTCATTATAATACTTATTGAAGCAGCTCTGCCCCAATATCACTAATTGTTACACTCCTCTATAACATACAAAAAATTCCATATATTTTACTTATCAAATATTGCATGGAGCTAATAGATTCTATCAATCGCACATTGCATTCAATAGTTCTGCATAATTTAAAATTTTTTCTCTATTTGATTAATCAACAACTATTAACGGTGAATAGGAGTTCAAAAAAATTGGGCTAATTTATTTAGAACAAGTTATTTCTAAACTCATCAATATTTGTAAACCTTTTCTTCCTGTCCTTCTAGGAAAAATAAATGAGTGAGCATATTTCTTAAAATATCCACCTGTTTTCATTTGCATAAGATCACTTTTCAATATCTAACAATTTCAGCAAATGTCCAAATAGAGCTTGGTCGTTAAGATATTTCATAAATCTATGTATGTGTTCTAATGAAGAATATTCATATTTCAATTTAATTATATGGCTCAATAGTAGTTTCAGATTAAATTGGAGATGAAAAGATAAAAAATTCTACAAAAGGTTGTTTCAAATAATATTTCGATATTTACCTCAATAACGATCCTTATTATGAGCAGGTGCTCCTCCATATAAATTAAATACGATCCTTAAAAATCAGAAAAATCAATTGTAAACTCTCTTTATCTGTCCTGCATTTTTCAATTATTTTATTTCTTATTAATAAAATCTTCTTACAATAATTTTAATCCATCATATCGATCAACAATATAAATAATAGGATTTATCAAATATTTTCATTTTAATAGATGGAAGTTTGAGTGAAATCCCATCAATAAAGACCTTTATATGAATTTTCACATGTTTTTTACTAGTATATTAATACTCCATCAAATTCAGTTTTTACCTTTCAACAATAACCTATTAAGCTATATTTCTACTTCCATATAAAATAATTTACAACTAGCAAAAAAATGAGTGCTCCAGCTGAACCAAAATGAGTTGATATAATTTCTATCATAAATAAAAAGAAAAATTTTAATAATTAAATCATGAATATAAGGAATATATATTTAAATGTTTAGGTTCTGCCTTTATTAATTCCACATATTAATATTTATTTCTAGTTTATGTGAAAGCTGAAGAGCAATTTCATTAAAATATTTTAATTTTAGGCATTTTGATTTTATAATTTAATAAAATATAAAATACACTTATTTTTATTCCTTTTTATATTTTCATAAGCTATAGGCTTAGATGATTAAAAAAGTTAAACCTTAAAAAGACAATACTAAATGATTATTAATCTTAATATTCAGTCTTTTTTAATTATTAGAATTATTTGATATCATAATTCATTCTTCAGATAAATATTTATGCTGTTAAAAAAGTTTATTTCTGTAGAAATTCAAATATTTTTACAAGGATTTAAGGTACATTTTGAAATAAATTTGCTGTTATTCAACGAAGACATTGCATATTATATACTAATTATTTTATTACAGTAATCAATCTAAATATATATTTTAAATATCTTATCAATATTATCATATACTCAAATTTATCAAGAGCAGGCACACTCATAATAAGTCATTTATACAAGAAAATAATATCATTTCCTATTTGAATGATCCTATTATTTTTAATTTTCTTGCATTTGTTCCTAATGGTAGGTTAGCCTAATAAACAATAATAATAAAATTTCATCCACTATTTTAGATAAAATTGGAATTTTTATCAAGTAATCTACAATATTATTCTTAATAATGGAATTAAATATATTATTATTAAATAATAGAATAGGATATTAATGTTCATTTAGAATATACCTTCATTTATGTTTTATTATCTGATAAATACACATTTTTAGCATTCTTGTAAAGGATCTGATTATTAAATTGAAACCCCTATTCATTTATTTTTGTAGAATTCAAGAATTAAAAATATTTTAATATATTGAAATTCAAAATTATGAATTTAATTATCAATTATTTTTTTTTTATTTATATAACAATAAAATTTAATAATAAGCTAAATCTTAAATTATGTGCATTTTATTAAAACACGTAATTTTATTATTTATTTAAATTTAAATGATACTACTCATTATTTTAGTGTATACAACTCATCAAACTCTCCTTTATTAGTTTAATGCAACTTCTAACATAAGAGATGGTAATTTCTTCTATTTATATCCTAGGATGGCAAAATTATTTAAGTGATGTTGATTTCTATACTTGTGGAAGCATTCAATATTTTGGGAAATCTAGCAGTGGCATTTTTGCAATTAGTAGAATACTTTTAGATCTAGAACCTCATTCTCATATTATTTTGAATGCAGAATTTCTTACGTAATTTTATTCTTTATTACAAAAGTATTAATTCAGATACCCTGCCCTATTTTTATCTAGATGAATAATAAATGAGTTTTTAGCCAGAGATATCATCTTTTTATCTCTGTGGTGATACACAACTCGAAAATGTATATACTATTTCTATAACTCTTTTACATAATAGAAGAGCGATTTGGATAGTAATTTTAGGTTTGTAAAGAGGAGGATTAATATCATTAAGATTAAGTATTATTAAATGTTAGTAGGGATGTGTTGGATGCATAGAGAATTATTGTACTAAGTGTTAATTATGGAAACTGCATTAATATTCATTTAATTAGAAATTGATCACAAACCCAGTTGGATGGACTTTTCTTTCACCTTATAATTATTATACTTATTTTGATTGTGAAAATTGCTAATTTTTGTAATTTACAGAAATTAAATATTCAACTCAATTACCTCCTCATTAAGATGTATTAATAAGATTTTTTAAATATAATGATGCTGTAATAATTGTAGACTATCTCTATGGTCAATAAACAATTAGTTCTTATAATTAATAAATAGAAATATTTATAAGAAATCATTAGGATCCTATATTATTAATAAATATTAAAACTTAATTAGTTTCAGAATATAGTTGTGTAAGAGATTTTGAAGTATTTTACACTTAACCTGAAACAATGTTTAATAATTTTAATGAAGGTTGTTTAGAGTAAATTGATGAAAAATGTCTAATTTGCTAAGAAGGTTGGATTTAAGATGAATTTCTAGAAAATTGTCATCCTATTTGTGGTGATGGAATTATTCAAGGTTAAGAACAATGTGATGATGGGAATCTAATATC